ATATATTGGAGCTATATATAAATCTGACCCGTTTATCTACAAACTTGGCACACGTCATACTTTACCTAATTCAGTACTCTATGCCAAATTTCGTGCAAATCGAATGATATATAGGGACTTTGGTGCATCATTTACCTTAAGTCGGACGAAACTATATATGGGAGCATATGCATATTCTCAAAAGGAACCATGTGTCTATCTCGTTTCCTTTTGCCTGTTACAAACATATGCACATATACACCCTGTACCACAGTGTGGTGAAGGGTATAAAAATATGCGGTTTAAGAGAACTGAACTGTTTCTTCTCGTTTCCATTTATTTTTAGAATATCACATAATTGCCGCAAGTATCGTATTGGGATTTGTGATTTTAATGATAATATTTTCGATACTACTGGTCATTGGTGCGCAGAAGGTAACATACACTAAATTATTTCAATAGTTATCTTTAATGTAAACTATTTATAAAATTCTCTTGCAACAGAGACGTCCCGCATTAATGGCTGGTTGGATATTCTTTACCATTGTCGGTATAACAATGAGTATTTTCAGTATTATCTTTGGTGGCTTCAAATTGCCGAAGACACAATTTTGTGCCAGAATTATTTATATAAGTAAGTATAAAAATATATTAAATAAAATTAATTTTTTATTCTAATATTATTAATTTTTATTATAGTTTTCCAAATCTTGTTGTGGTATCCTGTCTACAAGTTTTGGAAAATATTGAGCATCACTGATTATACATCTGTTTATAGTCAACCATTGGTGGTGCCACAAACGGCTCCAGTTAATTACGCTTCAACAAGTGATACTACGGAGAATGAAAATCAACGGGGATATTTTAGAACACCGAATGTTATATAAATTGTTACTCTATACATTCTATTGAGATTTCAAAGTTATATATTTTAATTTTAAGCAATATTTTTTATTATGTATTTTAAGATTCAATAACATTAGACAGATATTATAGTTAACCGAATCTATTTTATATACCTGGAATTGTCGGAGTTCCTTTTCAAAAGTATTATATTTTCTGAAGAAAACTTTTATATTCGTCACCATAAGGCGTTTTGAAGCTTTTGGTATTTCGGATTGGTCCACTATTGGTTTACTTTATACGATAGCCCCTATGTAACGCTGTCTATCAAAATTTTGTATTTAAGAGAGCATGGCTCAGCCTTTATAGAGCGGTACTACCCATTATTCGGAATTTTGGGCACGATTTACCATCGAATTGACAGTAATTTGATATTTTGGGTTCGCATGGGTTCGCTTCCTCAGAAGGGTATTTTGAAGATTTTAGAAGCATTGAGATGTGAGGGCCACACTTAGTCCGAAGGTGTCAGTTAAGGCTGGGTTTTTAGAAATTCTTACCACAACTCACTTACTTAGCTGGCTTGTTACAGAACGGTTGTTCCATAAGCCGAGCTTAAAAAAGATTTCCAAGCGCGTCGGTCTTGTGCGCAAATCCACCAGTTTGGAAGACCACGTTATAAGATGTTGTTTTCTACTTGGTCTTTCCATCTAATTCGTGGCCTTCCCCTTCTACGAGAACCATTAGTAGGCTCGTTTTTATATGACTTTTGAGCTGGGGCATTCTCATTCATCCGCACAACATGGCCTAGCCACCGTAGTCGCTGCAGCTCAATACGACTGACTATGTCGATGTCCGCGTATAAATTGTAAAGCTCGTGGTTCATTCGACGCCGATATTCACCGTCGATGCAGATCGGTCCGTAGATCTTTCGGAGAATTTTTCTTTCAAACACGCCAAGATCTGCCTCATCTGCTTGCGCAAGTACCCATGCTTCTGATCCATATAATAGCACGGGTAGTATCAGCGTCTTGTAAAGTGTGAGTTTGATCTGGCGGGAGGTGGCCTTGTTTCTAAACTGCTTACTTAGACCATAGTAGAGAGAATGCTACTTAGACCATAGTAGCATTCTCCGAATTTCAAAACTGATGTCATTCGTTTTATTTATGGCGTTACCAAGGTATATAAAGCCGTTAACTACCTGCTGTAGCTGTAGTTCTCAAGTTCCACAGTTGGTCCAAGTCTACTGGACGTCTTGCGCGTTGATACCATCAGCTTGGTCTTTTCGCCGTTTACTTTCAGACCCACTTTGGCAGACTCCTTCTCAATTTGTTCAAAGGAGGCTATTGCCGCTCGCAATATTCGACCCATTATATCGATGTCATCGTCGTAAGCGAGTAACACGTAAGCGAGTTGTTTGGTGTACAGAGTGCCATTTGTGTTCACCTTTGCGTCTCGTATGACCTTTTCCAGTAGGATGTTAAAAAGGTCACACGACATACTTTCACCTTGTCTGAATCCTCGTTCGGTATTGAAGGGCTCCGAGAGGTCCTTTCCTACTTTAACTGCTGACCTTGTGCCATTTAAAGTTATCTTGCATAGCCGTATTAATTTAGCAGGAATGCCGAATGTAGACATGGCTTTAAACACCTCTGAACGGATAGGGCTGTCAAATGCGGCTTTATAGTCGACAAATAGGTGGTATGTGTCGATGTGTTTTTCGTGGGTCTTTTCCAGGATTCGGCGCAGAGTGAAAATCTGGTCAATGGTGGATTCGCGAGGTCTGAAACCGCATTGGTATGGTCCGATGATGTCATTGACCATTGGCTTCAATCGTTCACACAACACATTGGATAGCACTTTATATGCGATGGGAAGGAGACTTATTCCTCTATAGTTGGCACATATCGTCTTGTCTCTTTTTTTTCCTTTTTTGTGCACGGGACACAGGATACTGAGGTTTCAATCATTGGGCATGCATTCATCTAGCCAAATTGTACTAATCAGCTGGTGCATGCTCCTGACCAGCATCTGGCCACCAGTCTTGAATAGTTCGGCTGGTAACCCATCGGCTGCTGCTGCTCTGTTGTTCTTGAGCCGATTAATTGCTATACTGACTTCATCTTGGCTAGGTCGTATACACTCTATACCATCATCCCTTATTGGTTCTGGGGTATCTTCTTCACCGCCACTATTTGATATCGTACCATGGGTTTCTTGGTGGTGGTTTTTGGTACCCAAGTGTTGCTTTTGCTGCAGTTTGTAGGGAGTGGGCAATTCTTTGCCATTGTGCTTCTATACTATTATCGGGACAAGAAGTGCTTTCTTCAAGCAGATGGGTAAGTTGAGCGGAGTAGGCCTCGGCTACCTGCTGTGTTTGCAGCTTTTCGACGTCGAGTTTCGTGTTGTGTTAGATCGCACCTTTGCTGCTACATTTGCTGCTACATTACCACAAGGTAATGGTCCGAATCGATATTCGCTCCTCGGATCGATCGGACGTCTAAAACACTGGATGAATGCCTTCCGTCTATCTCTACATGCTCAATTTGATTTATCGTTGCCTGATCAGGAGAGATCCAGGTGGCCTTGTGTATATCGAGATGCTTGAATCTGGTGCTGCTAACTACCATGATTTTCGCTGCCGCGAAGTCTATCAACCTCATGCCGTTGTCGGATGTTTCTTCATGAAGGCTGAATTTACCGACGGTGGGGCCAAAGATATTTTCCCTTCCGATTTTTGCATTAAAATCTCCTAGCAGGATTTTAATGTCATGGCCAAATTCATGTCTCGTTTCATGGCAGCTATAATACAGGGCGTAATCGTCTGATTTACTTACGCCTGTCCCTTTCCATCGCATTTCCAGCAAGGCAATAATATCGGCTTTGTACTTCTTGAGTACATCCGCCAAATCGAAAACTGCGCCTGATCTGTACAACGTGCGCACATTCCTGGTCCTCTATACGTTTGCGGGTTCATTAACATTAGGAAGGTTTTGTTTTCTTTTTCGTAGCTTTTTCAAAGTAGGTTGGATTTTCCGAGAGTGGGCAACTAACCCCTCAACCCATTTTTTATAGTTCTTATGGGTGAACTCGCGACACATATTAGCTCAATATTTCATCGGGTGATGAGAATAGCTCCCCAGGTGGCACCGCGGGGAGGTCAGTGTCCACAATTGAGATGAAAGAGGGACCAAGATAAGCCTGGACTTCGCCATGTTACAGCCAATCAGAGCCGTTGCTTGGTATCTATCATTCCCTACGCCTATCAGGAGAGCTGGAGAACTGAAATTTGAATATAAGATTACTACCGCATTGTGGAATTGAGGAAATGTAGGTTGTTTTTGAAGGAATGTAGGTCAATTTCAATTTTAGTTGAATCGGTAGTGCTGGTATTTTGTAATTTGGGTATGGATGTAGTTTTGGGAAATTGTTACATATGGGTACTAAGTGGAACTGAATTTGATACAAATTTGGATTAAGGTGATCCGATAGCGATGGAATCCGGAAATTAGGAAATAAGATTTCTATTGGATTGTGTGATGGCGGTAGTTATGGAAATTTGTACTTATGTGTGCTAAATGCTACTAAGTTTAATATAATTTGAATTTAGGTGATCCGATAGATTCTAAATTTCAGGATTCAGCATGAATCCATAATATTCAATATGATGATCCATTGGTCTAGCATAAAAGCAACAATGTTCTACTAGAAGACCTAATACTTTTCTATAAGGATACATAATGGTCTTCGAGTAATTTATTTTTCATTCCACCCCAATATCGTAGACACACTTAAATAATTATCCGAAAACTGCACAAAATAGAAAACAAAACAGCAACATGAATATATTTGCATTAATTTAAAATATACACATTTTATTGCTTTTTCACTCTTGGCAATTAAAATATTTGGACAATGACAAGATTGAGTGGGCGGCTGATGGTAGTGATGATGATTATGAAGGAAGGCATTGTATTTCTTTCATTATGAATTCGATATTTTATTTTTTTTATACTAAACTAATTAAACTAAAATGTTAATACTAATTTGAAGGAAATATATATTTATTTCGTAACTAATGATAAACCAATATTGGGATCTCTTGGTAAAATTTCCCCTTAAAGGAAGCTACAAATAAAAAAATATATGGCCAGTCTTAAAAACTCGGGAAATAAAATTTGCTTCAATAGAAAAACTCATCTTGGGAGTATAATGGCACAGTGGTGGGTAACATTTTACGTCTTTCGCGTCCATCCATGAGTTCCATATAGAATAGTTGTATGCCACGCCATAGATAAATTTCCAAACCTGAAAAGAGAGAAATGAAAATTTGTTTATTTTGGATTAATACAAAGTTTCTGATAAAAAGAGTGATATGAATTTTTATAAAGGGGTTTTCAATAAGAAGTGTTATTTTGGTATTCAAAGAAATATGAGATACGTGTACGGATAATGAAAAATAAAGTAAAACGTTATGTTCGCATGCCTGAACTTTTTATTCCCTCCACCATAGGGGACTATACCAAGGTAAATTGTTGCAATTTGGATGATTTGCCACCCAATGAGAGCCAAAAATATTTAATTACAGTCAATATGGATGACAACATTTTATGAAATCTTCAAAATATCAAAAAATCGGAGATACATGACATCGACATTGATAACCTTTAGGTACGAAGATTTGACTTAAAATATTACATTATAGTCCATTTGGTTAAAAACCTGCCCAAATGGGGGTACCTGCGGGATAATGGGGGTACGTTTTATGGGGCCACCCTGAAATATGGGCCAATATTGATATGTTGTGGTAGACAGATATTCCGCAAAATGAAAATTACCGCCAACCCATATATCCCCAAACTAGGTGGATAAGTTAAAAGCTCAATTTTAAATATCGACATAGAATATCGTTATAATCAAGAATTTCGAATTGCGATAATTTTGACAGTTTGTGTAGCTACCGAGGTGGACATGGACGTCATTAGTCGAGATGCATTTTCAATGTATACCAGATAATTTCAATGCAATTCAAGAAATCAATCAAAGACCATCCTAGTACCTAAGAAGAAGAAAACCTTCTAGCACAAAAAAGGGTCAATGTTTTCACAAAGCCCAATATTTAGTAACAGAGGTGGCTGTAATATAGGAACAAATACACAGAAAAAAAGTTTAATGAATATTTTCATAATTTTATTCATAGTTTATTTTTTTCCGTTTGTATGTGAATACCAGTAAAAATTCTTATAATCATTAGAAAACCGCAATTGTTTCCAAAAAAATTAAACATTTCATTAATAATACAACTATTTTCCTACATCGCTCCATTTTTACTCTCTGCCTCTTTTTTGTAAAAAAAGCAGTGAGCGGAACAATATAGTCGGACGGGGCCGACAACATGATACCCTACACAACTTCCACGAAAATGTAACATTCTGTGGTTCTATATTCTGAGCTAGAGGTCAACAGCACCTCTTCCTACAGTACAGTACAGCCCTTTTAATTACTTGTCCAGATTTCTCACCGTGGGTTATGTTGTGATGTTGGCTTATAAATGTGGTTTATAGATCGACTCGAAAACAAACACAAAAAAATTAAGTTTTCTGTCCACTTTATGCCAAAATTATTATCTTATCTGGATCCTAATGGAAAATTTCGAAGCTATCAGCTCTATATATCCGCCTATACTATATAATATATGAATACGTGAGCATCTGTAAATATTTAAGGGTAACTCCCACATCCGAGTACCTACAACAATATAATTGGTATCAATTTAAAGGTCAAAAACTTCTCTTGGATATATACTATCAACTTCTCCAGTTTATGTCCTTCAGATATACGCCATAGAATAAAAATGTTGTAATTTTTCACACAAAAGTCAGGGTTTATTTGACCCTCTAAATATTGGCCGATCTTTATCAAAACAGGCATACTTACTCTTTAGCTTGATAATTTTGACCTTAGAAGCGACCAGAAAAACAGACAAAAATTAAGTTTTTCGTCCTTTTCATCCCCTAAATATTAACCGATTTTTACCAAAAACAATAGAGGTCTTCATTGGACGGAACCAAACGTACATTCTAAATTTCTAGAAGATTGATTCACAACTGTGGCGTGTATCGTGTTTACAAATTGTAATGTCTCTGTTAGTAACAACCGCCCACTTTCCACTCACTCGATTGTGACCGGTTTGTCATTCCATTGTTTCTTTATTTCAGACACTCTTACCGACCTCTGCATTGGTGTTACATAATTCGCATATGTATTTTCCAAATTATTTCCATATAAAGAGAGAGGGAGAGAGTTCCAGTGCCATAGAAACTCGCACCGCAAAACACACAAACTACAAAGTTATTTATTTCACTCTCTCTCTGACAAGAACCCAGTATTTCAAGTTTTATGGATTGCATTAATAAAATGCAGAAATTCCGACATTGGCAACACTTTCTGAACATTATTCATATAATATTGAATTATTTTTTCTGTGAATTAGAAGACATTCTTTCAATAAACGCCGTGTATAGTCAAAAGATATTCCTATAATTCCAGAAGTTGTGGCATAAGACTTTCCGTAAGTATTCTATACTTCGAAAAAAAGATATGAATTTTTATTATTAGACCCTATGGTCTACTGTATATATTTCTGGCCTTATAATAAAATTACGAATTGTTATCATTAACTGGTTGATAATATCCACCATGAGTATGACATTCAAATATCTAAAATTAATGGGGCCCCTAGGAGAATACTTATGTTATGATAGGGCCTTGAATATGCCGAATATGATAATACAAATTACATTCAATTACGTTGAAAACTTGTCCAAAATCCCCTAAAAACGCAGATTTTAGGGTTAGTGTTATATGGGGGCTACCTTGAAAATAGTGCCAATAATAATATTTTTTTGTAAAAAAACGAATATCGGGGTGCATCTTTCTATGTGGGGGGCCATATAAAATAATGGTCCTATATTTATAAGTTGAAGTGGATAGATTTGATGTCAAATAAGAACCTAAATGCTAAATTACAGCGAATTTGGTTGAAAAACGCGCCCAAAAACCTAAAAATACCGAATTTGGGGGGGTGCTCTTTCGGGGAACCGTTATATGGAGGTTACCCGTAAATGGGGTCCTATATTTATGTAGTGATTTGGTACTCAATTAGATTGAAGAACACGCTCAAACCCAAAATTACCGAATATTGGGGGTAACGTTTAATATGCCGATATATCCCATTTGCAATACCAAACATCCTAGAAGTACTCTATCTTAAATATTGCGATCTCTATCGTGATTTCAACAGACGGATTGATAGACGGATAAATCGACATCGAATTTTATTCTCATCAAGCATCTATATACTTTGTGGCGTATCCGGTTAATATTTAGAGGTGTTGCAAACATAATGAAAAATTATTACGTCCTATGGTGGAGGGCATAAAAAGGCTTTTATTCTCTAGCTAGAGTTACATAGGCTCCCATTGATACACTCCCAAAAATATTTTTTTAACGCTTCGAAAGAATCTTCTGGCGACGAATATTCGTTGATCACGCATTTGATGGTTTGAGTCGATGAATGAGATTTCGCATTGTTGTTGTGCACAGGGTCAGTTTTGCACATGAAATATCGAATGCGTGCTGGTGGAAGAAATATTCAAGGATGTCTCTATACCACGGTATATATTATATATACACATATACATGACGATATTGCATTATCAGTTCACACTAAAATGCTCACGTTTAACTAATCATATTTTGCTATTTGATTTTCCTCTGTAAAAAAACACAACACATGGCCGTACGTTTTTGTTAAAAAATACCAAACAATCCAATGGAAATATCAAATGGCTCTAGGTATAACATGTATTCATAACATTGAGTTTTGAGTTCATAGATTCCATATGGAGGTCCCAGTAAATTTTAGGTATTTTTCAAACGTCCTAGCCACATTTTCGAACCGAAGTGGCAGTTATTAGGTATTTTACATTTTCAGTGAGGTTAATCACCACATTGTATAAAATGTTAAAGGTTTCACTTTCAATCTGTATGGTTTTCCTTTCCATTGCAACTTCCACTATGTATGGTATCGAAAGAGAAATAAATAAAAACGTCCAATAGAGTTAACTTTAATTTGACATTTAAGATCCTCGGAGAATTAAATACATCCTTTCATAGAATTTCCCTCTTATTTGGGATACGTTGAAATATTTATGAAGATTTATTACATTTTACTAATAACCAATCTTCTGACCAAAATTTATCACTTTAAATTATTTTGAATTGATACAATTTAAAATGTGAAATTTGATATCATATGACGACAGTGATGTGAGTGAGTGGCACACGCCATGATAACTATCCAGCCACTCTTTGATCATTTGTTCTGTTGCTTTTTGAAATTGAATTTATTTTGATGTGTGACAAATGATCATTGAGAGTCAGTCATGACTATTGGGGGAATTTTTTTATGTCAAGGCCTGTTAATGTTCATCAACCCATTTTATTGTGGGAATTGGTTTTTATAAAGTTTTCGCAAATGTTGTCTGTTTCTTTTCTTTTTTTGAATTGTTGCCAAAAATAATTATTGTGACAGAGCAAAATAAAAGGAAATAGAACATCTGGTTATTTGATGGATGACACATTTTAATTGGGTTGAAAGATTTGTTCACATTTATTTTTTGCGTAAAAAAAATAATATTATTTGTTGTATTATTTATTCGTCGGCAAGCCAATCACTCAATTAGGGATGTCATGAAAAGAAAACAAAAAATATATTGAAATTTGATTTAAATGTAAATTGGTTCAAATCAGCCTAGGACACATTTCGGTTTTATCGACATCTTTATTCCGTAAACAAATAAAAACTGCCATGGGTTGGCTATTCAAAATACTTAAATTTGGTCAGAAATGTTATATGCGGATTATGCTATGACTTCTTGCTGTCAGAAGGTTTCTCATCTTCAGAGTAATCAAAATACCAAATTTCAAACACCCAGTTTGACAAATTGGATTGGGATCTTAAAAACATACCGAATATGACCCATGTAGAAACATGTACCTAATCAGAAAATGTTCTATGATGAAGTTTTTTTAACCTACCAAGAATACGTAATACCAAATTACAAACACTTCGGGACTTCTAAATGGAGGCTATTCTGAATCTACCGATCCTAATATAAACGTATACCCAAAATAAACTCACTCGCAATTCCTAGACCATAAACTAAGTGTGAGTATGCAAGCGAAATAATAAATTTAAAATTAATTGCACATTTTTTTATTTCCAATTCAATTAAGTGTAATTTTTGAAAATTTTCGCTTTTTTTATTGCTCACAAAAATTTGATGATTATAACGCACACAAATAGAATATTAATGTGAAATATATTTTTGTTTTGGGGGGTACTTACCCAATAATAGAATGGCGGCAACCAACACAATTATCATCGATGCCTCGACACACCAACCATTCAGACTGTAGATGATGAACAAATAGACGGTGTAGATAAGACACAAACTTAGGGCTGTCAGTGTGACAACGCCCATTACAAGCCATGGCAGTAGTAGTTTGTTGTTATACTAAAAGTATAAATATTTAATTTGTTTTTTACAATATAAATTTTTATAATTAATTAATTAAACCTAAATAGTTTATGATACTCACTCTCATTCCTCCAACAATTAAACATATTGACGTTATTAAAGAGGCCCAACTCAGACATGTATAGAGGATATAGAATGTTGCTGAAATATAAATAAATAATATATTTATAAATAAATATTACATTTCATAAGATAATTTCAAGGCAATAATCTGTGAGATATAACAAAGTTTTGATCGATTTAACCAATATTCGAATATAACCTTTTCACAGCCAAAATACAGTAGTTTCCAATATATGAGGATATATGATACCCAACACCACTTTGGGTACGTGAAAAAGAACTAGTGAAATTGAGGAATATATCGAGTCTAGATTTTAGAATGATTCGTGCCTAGTTTGGTATACATTGAATTAGACATTAATATAGTTCTACATAAAATGTACTCCGATTTCATGTGAATCATAACCTTAAGACGATATGTAAATAAATTTAGACAAACATATTTTTTCTAGTTTTTGTGGCGCCAAGTGTTTGTAATGTCACGAAATATTATTCCTAGACCCAACTTTTGTATACTGATCATCATACGTCGATTAGCTGAGTCGATCTAGACACGTGTGTCCGTCCGTATGTCCATTATAAGTTGTAAACACGATATACGGTCCACATTTATGGACCATGTTGGACGGGTTCTGTTGTTTTGGGTAATGATTGGTTAATTTTAGCTCATGAAATGGACCAAAACCTTAATTTTCCCTGTTTTTCTAGTCACTCTAGGGGCCACAATTATGACCCGAACTGACTGTTCTAATGAAGATCGCTGCTATAAGGGAAATTCATACCAAAGACCCGAATGTATCGATTTCTCGCCGTTCTCAGGAATTTGGACTGTCTTACGGTACATTATAGTATATTTTGATTTAAGATCTGGCCACAGTGCCGCAGATATGTGGAATTGGTGCTTGAACAACAGACCCCCTGCCACCCGACAAGACAACCATAAGTAAGTATGGGTAAGACGATCGTCGTATACAGCCAGTGTATAATTCCGGGTCTCAATCCCCAACTCTTGCCTATGGAATTCTTGCATGAATAGAGTGCCAGCAATCCCTTCTTGGAGCGTTCCTCAACATTCCTATTCCACAGTAACTTGCGGTCTAGGATAGTGCCAAGATATTTAGCTTCACCAGAAAGGGTTAAAGTCACTCCACGGAAACTAGGAATTTTGTGCTTCCGAGTGAAGAGCACCAGTTCGGTTTTAGTGGGGTTTACACCAAGACCTTTAGTGTAAGCCCAATTAGACAGGGTTAAAAGGACACCCTCCAGGATGTCTGATATTGTCGTTATAAACTTACACCCAACCAGCAAGACTACATCATCGGCATAGGCTACCGCCTTTATCCTGAGATGATTGAATTTCATAAATATCTCATTTATCACCAGAAGCCACAAAAGGGGGGAAAGTAATCCTCCCTGAGGTGTGCCTCTGTTGACAGATTTCCTCACGGAACTCTCTCCTAAGGATGAGTTGATAATTCTGCTTTCCAGCACTCTATCAATCCATTCCGTAAGGAGTGAGGGGATACCTATGCCTACAAGAGCAGAATGGATGGCCTTTAGCTTCACATTATTGAAAGCTCCTTCGATATCGAGGAATGCTGCCAACGTGTAGCCAGAGGATTCCATATTCTTCTCGATGTATCCAACCACCTCATGCAGAGCTGTATCCACTGATCTGGCTTTGATGTAGGCAGGCTGGGATTTACTAAGTTTACTACGGTCAATGGTATTTCTAATTTCTGAGTCTAGTAACATTGGACCTTACTACTTCGAAAATGAAAATGCAACGACGTCACCGTCAATTTAGAGCATAAGAATGGTGTTATATGCGGACTTTTTTTGCTTGCTATTGAAGAATATGACTTGAAGCATATGCGGTTACAAAAAGATGGTGCCACATACAACACAACTCGATCGAAAATGGTTTTATTCCAAGAGACATTTCCTGGTCACGTAATTTTTCGTCATGGCGATATCAACTGGCCACTAGGAACATGCGATTTAACACCATTAGGCTTTTTATGGGGCTATGCGATAATAACTATGGGTCTACCTCGATTCGTATTACATGTCACAAATGTACGCACAAAAACATATTACCCTGTATTTAGGGTTGCCAGCCTGGCTAGGCTTTCCAGGATTGTCCATATTTTTATTACCCCCATCCGTAGTATGTCAGGGTATATTAAGTTTGTTATACCGTATGTAATTCATCATGTCCGTCTCTATAAAGTTTACATAATGTGTATATTCATGATAAGTGTAAAATTCTATGAGGATTTAAGCATGTCCTGTTGTAGTCACTCTAGACTCTAATCGAATTGGGATAGATCGCCAAAATTTTGCATAAAGTTGTCTTTTGTCTGCAGCAGGTCTAGTTCGAAGATGACCTATATCGGTCCACGTTTAGGCATAGCCCCCATATAAGGGTACAATCGGTTCTTATTGGATACAACATTTCTCCACTAAAAAATATAAATATAGGTCCATTTTTCCTGGTAGACCCCATATAACGTTACTCCACAATTTTCGGTATTTTGGACACTGCGTTTTCATTAGCCACTAAATGTCCATTTTTTTCGGATAGTCCTCATATAACGGTACCTCAATTATTCAGTAGTTTGAGGATTTTGAGCGCGTTTTCAACCGAATTTGCTTCAATTTGGTATTTTTAGTCGTATTTGGTAACAAATCTCCCTCCCAAAATATATTAATATTCGCCCATTTTTGGATGTAGTGCCCATATCACCCCCTTTTATTTCCTCCACCATAAGTGTATATTAAATTGGTCATTTCGTTTGCAACACCTCGAACTATTCACCAAATACCTCATAAAGTATATACATATATTCTTGATCAGAATTACATTATATGTCGATTTACGCGTGTCCGTATGTCTGTCTGTTGAAATCACGATATAGATCGCAATATTTAAGATGGAGCTTTGAAATTTTTGCACAGACATTGCTAGTATTCACAGGAACATTACATCGGTCTACCTCTTGGTGTACTCCCCTCTATAACGGTATTGGGTATTTTGCACACGTTATTTAACAGAATTGGCTGTAAATACGTATTAATATTGACTTAAGATTCAGGGTAGCTCCCACACAACCGTACCCCCAATATTCGGTATTTTGGAGATTAAGGATTCGTTTTTCAACCTAATTGGCTGTGATTTTGTATTTTGGGTTCTCATTATATAGTTCATGTCCGTAACAAAAATTATTAATATTGACTCAATTTTCAGGACACGTTTTTCAATCGAATTGGGTGCATTGTATAGCACATCTGTGTACTAAAAATTATTAATATAGAACCAAATTTGAGTGTAGCCCACGGTACCTCCACATCTCTGTACTCAAAATGATTTCATTATTCAAAATGATAAATGTTGACCCCAGTTTTAGTATAAATAAAACGCTAGCACCCATATAAGGTAATACTCATTTTCAAACTTCTTTTTCCGTATATTGAAGGTCCTATCATAACATAAGTTTATTACATTACATTAATTTTACATATTTTATTTTATTTATTAAATTAATTAATGAATGTTATCTACATGGTGGAGGGTATAAATAGTTCGGCCGGTCCGAACTTAACATCTTTTTAACTTGTTTATATTATCAGCCTGTTTTTGTAAAATTCCAATCGAACCAATTCGAACGAATTACTACCAAACTTTTATTTACATATGTAAACCAGTGAGCGGAGCAGTATAGTCGGACGGGGGCGACCATACGACACCCTACACAACTACCACGGAACTCTAACTTTCTGCGGATATTTATTCCGAACCTGGGCAATATTTCGTTATAGTTGCAACATCTTGCCTGATTAGAGGTCAACAGCACATCTCCCTTACACTGAAATATTTTCCGAATATTACTTATATTCAGTACAACCCTTCTATTTCTTTCTATTGTGGCCTACGGATCGACTCGAAAAAAAAACACAAAACATTATGTTTTCGAAAATTATTATCTGATCATCGCCAAAAATAGGAGTTGTCCTTGACCATAACTGGAACTTCATGGACAATTTCAAAGCAATCTGTGCTATATTTCCGACCTCTAGTGTGGTAATGGGTTACTAAGTAATATCTTAGTACGTAACCACATATAAATATTTAAGTGCAACTCCCACATCCGAGTACATAAGACAATATAATTGGTATCAATTTAAAGGTCAACCAATCCTCTTGAATATATTGTCAACTTCTCGGGTATATGTCCTTCAGGAGTAAATATATACGCCATAGAATACAAATTTGGCAATTTTTCACACAAAAGTCAGGGTCCATTTGACCCGCTAAATAATGTCCCATCTTTATCAAAACAGGCATGGTTATTCTTTGGTCCGATCCCCTTCTCCATGTAAAATTTCAAGATTTTCGGACGAGCATTGCGGCCTCTAGAGCGATCAGAAAAACCGAAAAAATTAAGTATAGGACGTCAGGTTCTAGAATGAACTATATAGGCCCGCATTTAGGCTAGCCCCTATATAAAAATACCTACCGATTTAATATTTGTGATACAAAACGACACTGTTTTGGTGCGAAATTGAGCTATATCGGTCAATTAGACATAGTCCCTCATATCATGATAACTCTAAATAACTCTGCCCAGTGCATTGCAGTATTTTGAGAATTTTATGCACATTTTCCATCCTACCATGCGTTATCAATATCGGTCCACGACTTTGGGGTTTTGAGGATTTAGAAAAAAAGTCCCCATTAAAAATTTTATAAATTTTTATTTCGTGTGCATTTCGACTTACAACAATCGCATGGTACAATTGTCGGTATAGGTCACTTTTTGGTATGTTCCATATATCAGAAGTCTCGACAGATTATAATTGCTCGTGGGGTGGGAGACGTCTATGTTAATAAATGGTGAAAATATTAGGAATTTATTATTTATATTTTTGACACAAATTAAATGCTTCTTATCGTCAGTAGTTTAATTTAAATATCGCACCCATTTTTGTTTACTTCTGAAGATTTATCATTCGCACGTTTTTCAACCGAATTCGCTGAAATTTGGTATTTTGTAGTCGTATATGGTAACAAATTTCCCTACAAAAATTATTAATATGCACTCCCTTTTTGGGGTAGTCCCCATATAACCCCCTTTTTATACCCTCCATCATAGTATGGAGGGTATATTCATTTTGTTTTTCCATTTGTAACCCATCGAAATAAAGTATATATTCTTGATCAGCGTAAAATTCTATGACGATATAGGCATTTCCGTCTGTCCGTCTGTTGTAATCACTCTAGCGTCTAAACGAGTTGAGATAGATCGCCAAAAATTTGCACAGAGTCGTCTTTTGTCTGCAGGCAGGACAAGTTCGATGATGGGATACATCGGTCCACGTTTAGGCATAGTTGCCATATATGTGTACCCCCCAATTTTCCGTTTTTTGGGGTTCTTGAGCGCGATTTTTAACCGAATTCGTTGAAATTTGGTATATTGCTCTTGGGTACCCAATTTCACCACAAAAAATTGTACATATAGGTCCATTTTTTCTAGTAACCCTCCAAAATGAAATGCTTTGACATTAAATTTATGTTTGCAACAGCGAATTTTTCCACGTTGTACCTATGGTAGAGTATATCCAAATTTCTGCTCGGCGAACTTTACGCTTTTTTCACTTGATGGTGCTGTCCCAGTTTTAAGTTAGAAAATAATTTGTCCAGTAATTTCTATTTCCAACATCTTCAATGTCGTATCGATATACAGGGGCTATACTTACAATCAAATTGGAGAAAGGCGTGCCCAAGCGGTTCAAAATACCGAAATTTGGGAAGTACCCAAATTTCGGTATGTGCTACCCAAAAAGGTGCACAAATATTGACAATTTTTGTTAGGAAGATTCGCCAACATAAAATTTTAAATTAATTTTAAAAAATTATATTTTCAATCGAATTTTACCTTTGCCTAAACCAAATATAAATTGTAGTTTTTTCGCCACTATTTTGAATATTGTGTCCACTATTTTATTCACATATTTTTTATTTGCGAAACGTGTGATGAGATTTGTTTCTCAACAGAAGGTGTGAAATGTCTAATATTTTTTTTTTATCGGAAATGATTTTGTGTTTGCTTACTCTAGTAAAACAACAGACACCTCCCAACAACAACAAACACTTTTCGCTACTCACCTGTATCTGTATCCATAATCCATCCCGTATACTGTGCCTTGGGACTATTTGTATCACCCCTCGTATCGACTTCTGTACGATGACTTATTTCACCGGTATCCGGGTCAATGATCCACACCGAATTGGTGACTTTTTCTTGCGTCATAAATTGCACCAAATTGTAGGTGGTGTGAATGCTGGCATACAAAAACAACAACACCGATAAGGAGCCAACAACAATGGCGGCCGTTCTCAAAGGTAAACCGAATAATTTTCTCATTATTAAAAACAAAATTAAAAATAAACTACAACAAAATGACACCACACTTTTTGTTTGCACTGTAAATATTATGAAGTGTTTAAACTAACACACCGTGCCGTATATGTACGTACGTACGTCGGTATATTTATTTCTTTTCGGGTGTTTGCTATGTTTTTTTAATTAGCAAATTTTTATTCACACACTCAATAATTTTGCTAGGTTTTTGTTTTCCTGGTCTATGGCGCGGTTCGCTTTCAAAAAATCCCCGACGCTGTTGTTTTTTTGAGTTTTCTGGGTGTCACGCGAAAATGTCGACTGGCAAACATTGACTGAAGAGCAAATTCAGATTGCAAATGATTAGCTGGCAGCACTAGATGGCGGCAGCAGCAAACAACAACTTCTACGACGGCACTGACAACGACAGCAGTGCTGACATCCGCTGAAGATGTCAGCAGCATTTCATAAATAGTTTTTGTTTTTTTGTTTTTATTTTTGGTTTCTAGTTTGCATCTTTTAATTACTCACTCATAATATTTGGTTGGATGAGCATCACGCTGCATAGCCGCAGCAGCAGCCGACAGCAATATCATCGAGCGATACATTATTATCTTTCCGGCAAATGCTCAAATTGAATTTGTTTCGTTTCTCGTTGATATCGCAGGGCGAGAACCCAATGTAGGCGCTTCAAATGATAACAGTTTTCACTTTCTATGCCCGAAGACAAAAACAGCGTTGCGAACTATGTCAACATTGCCGCCCGCAATGTCATCGCCACAATGTGGGCTGAGGAAATCTCTAAATAAACAAACACACAAAAAAACACAGACTACGACAATATGTCATTAATTCTTTGATAATTAATTTTTTGTTTTTATTTTTTTTATCATTAATTTGTTTTTGCTTTTTTTTCGAAGGGAGGGGTTTTGCCGGGGTCCAAATATTATTGTCTTGAATTTATCTTAGATAGGGTGGATTAGCGGAAGATTTTTTTTTTGCAAAAAATATGTTGAAAATTGTTTTGGAATTTAGTTGCGTCTAATTTTAAAATTTTAGGGCTTCTTCTGGGCACAGATGTGGACCACATGTATCTAAATTCTAGAATGTGTAATAGATAAATATTTTTTGAATATTTGGTTTTCCTATCAGTTCTATCCGTGTGAGATATACAAAACATTACCAACACATTTAAGGCACAAATATTCCACAGAGTAGTATCTGGTTCAATCGAATTTTGCGGTCTTAAAAGGTAAATATGTTGACTTAGAAAAATATTTGCACAAACTGTTATTGGATCGAAACTTATTGGATCGAAACGATATTTCGAAACTTATTGGTTACAATTTTGATGATGGTTAAAATTTTTTTTATGTTGTTTATGACTTTTTGACTTTTCTAAAAATTGATTTCCGGTAATAGTTTTAAATGAACTTTTGCCTATTGAGGGCTAAAAATATTATTAAGAATTGAAAACAAAAAAGTGTCAAGTCGTAGGTTAGGTTTGGGCAGTGCAGTCACCCATTTAAGACACAAATATTCCACAGGGTAGTATCTGATCGAATTTGGTATTAGTTTTAAATAAACTTTTGCCTTGTCAAGTCAAAGTCACTAATGTGGCTGCAGCACTATGAGGACGTTCGTTCCATTCTGATCATCTAGATATGGATAGATCTGTAGGGGAGAAAGTGGGATAGGAAAGACAAGAAGCTAATGAGGAAGTAGATAGTAGTACAAGAAGTTGTTGTTGTTGTTGTAGCAGCCCTTTTGCAGAAATACTCGGGTCGTTTCGGATCGTATACCCCGTAGAGGGGTAGGTAGGAAGTGGTTTTTATGGCTGTACAATTTTGAACAGAAAACATATTAAATGCTACGGTTGCGCTTTCCCAACCATTATAGGTTCCTAATGATGCTGTAGATTAAATCAGGTTCCATAGTTGAAAAGAAGCTTAATCACGGTGGAAAGTGAGCCCCCACTAGTCTGTTCCGTCTTTAGGCCAGGACTGGACAGCGACATGGAGATGCTCAATTGTCTCCGTCTCCTCCTCGTCATCACACAGTCTGCACTAATCAGTAACATTATGGTCCCACTTACTGGCAAAGACCCTGATATTGCAATGACCAGTAATGACTCCTGTCATTATTTTAATTTCAGTTTTACTTAGGTTCAACAGTGAGTTTGTTCTCTTGGTTGACAGGCAAAGGCCCTGATATTGCAATGACCAGTAACGACTCCTGTCATTACTCTAATGCCAGCTTTACTCAGGTTCAACAGTGAGTTTATTTTCTTGGTTGAAAGAGTCGGCCAGATAGATCTTGATACATTGCACATAGGTACGTTGTGCCAAAGTTCATTGGTTCGTTTGTCAATGAACGCCTCAAAGTTCCGAAAAAGGTGACTGAGCCATCGATTGCTATATGTGTGGATTGATATCCTCGTCTAGCTAATTCGCCAACACAGCCGATAGCTGTTAGTAGGTGTTTCCAAAACTGCTCTACACTCGAGGACGACCTCAGATTTGATGTTACAGGATTTAATGGCTTTAAGAGCAGCCTGACTATCCACATGTTCAAAGATCTCAAATTTTTTTTTTCAATTCCGCTGCCTTTTAGGGGAACCCCCCCGCCCATGCTCGATTTTAATTTTTCAAGATTTTCAATGGGCTGGTAAATCAATACCAAAGTTTTTTAAGGTTTGTAACTTTGCACATATATATTTGAAGATTTAAAAGAGAAGAAAAATAATTTTCAAAAAAATGTTGTTGTTGTTTTTTGTAATTAAAAAGAAGTCATTATTTTTGATGACGGGCATGTTAGAAAGAGTACATGTCTGGCTCTCGTATGAACTAGGATTATAGACTTCGCTCTAAAATTAACAGAATGGCGGACCTTTAAAAAAATATTTTTGAAAAATCGTCTATTTTTGACCAAAAACGAAGTTAAAAAATAAGGAAGATCTTCACCGATTGGATTTATCCTAGTTCATACGAGACCTATACACTCACAGAGAAACATGTAAAAATTTAGAATCGATTGAGTTGTTAGTTTTTGAGTTATCGTACCCGCCAAAAGAGGAAAACGCGTTTAAAGTTTGAGAAGCCCTTTAGCCGCCACTTGATGCTGACACAATAAATCGGCTATATCTTCAAGAGTTCTTAAGATTTTTCACTTGAAATTTTGTAGGGACATTCTTGAATTAGTACAGATTCGAATTAAATCAAGAAAATTTTTGACCCCGAGAATGGGGGGGGGGGGTCCCCTTAAATCGCGAAGATTTCAGGTTGGAAAACACAACACTAAGCTGAAGGCCTAGCCTTCGCAGCAGACGCTAGCCCCTGTACGTTTTTCCTCTTCGATCTGTCTGTATAGAAAGCCCAGAGGAGGTTTAACGACATCTACATCGTCAAATTTCAGGACTGGTGATATATCGTCGCTTAGTTTTACGCGTCGGTCCAATGTCATACCCAGTTAAGCATTGCTTTCAGAGCTGCTTGTGAGGTGTTCCTCGCGGCTCCAGTTATTAGAATCGAGGCGCCTTGTCTAGTTTGCTGGATTTTGACTTGTGGAGCTGGCAGTGCCACCAATCAGGAGACCCATAGGAAAGGATGGACCTTACCACGGTGTTATACTTCCAGAGTATAGTCGATGGTTTTAGCACCCAACTATTGCCAATGGAATTCTTGCATTCATAGAGTGAAATCTGCCCTCTCTTCGCCTGTTCCTCAGCGTTCCTATTCCATCGTAGTTGACAGTGTATGATTGTGTTAAGGTATTTTGCTTCGGGCGACAGATGAAGTTGCACTCCATCCAATGTTGGCGGAGCATTACGTTTCCTAGTGAACATTACCAGTTCTATTTATATTGGATTTATTCCAAGGCCGTTAGCCAAGGCTCGATAAGGCTCTTTGCATAAGCTACGAGATTGTTGACGTCGTCCGCATAGAGCGTCCCGTCCTGAGGGGTGCCTCTAGTTACTGTTTTCCTCATTTTTGTTTCCCCCACATTTGAATTAATAATTCTGCTATTTAGAATTTTATCTATCCAACAAGTAAGGGTTTCAGGGGTTTCAATGTTAATTTTTTAAGTGAGTTTAACGTCGGACTCAAATTTAACGTTGTTAACGGCTTCTTCAATATTTAAGAAGGCGGCCAACATAAAGTTCGAGTACTCCATATTCCTCTCAATATATCTTACCACCTCGTGCAGTTCAGATTCCACTGAATTGCCTTTTAAAAGAATTGCCATGTCTACACGACTCCCAATCTCCAAGTAAAATTGATAATTTTTGGTACGAAGATTTGACACCCTATAAGAATTTGAAAAATAAAATTATAGCGAATTCGGTTGTTGAACATGCCCAAATCCTCCAAAATACTGAGTAATGTGCTTTCAAGGCCTACCAATTTTTTAAGTACATTTTTTCCAACAGGCGTGAATTTTTTTAATAATCGTTTATTTTTTTTTGGACGGGTTAGGATATTTGCTAAACACGACCTTGACCATAAATTCTCACTTCTGATGTCTTTGTTAAAAACACAGTCTAGCCACACTTTTCCCCTGTCGGCGAGGTTCCTAATCAAACATAGGGTGATTATGGAGGATGATTTGTCAAATGTAATAAAGAACTATTTAAATATACTGCTGTCTTTGGACAATATTAACATACAAAAAATATATTTTTTGAGCTGTTAAAATATTGTGGCAGGATTTTAGGAGAAAAATAGATTTTCCGAGAAAATTAGCTTCTTTTGGATCTTTATTATATTCACAAAAAGCTTTAATTCCCAAAAATACACTGAACTTAATTAAATTCATATTTGATATTTATTTTGAATTATATTCATATATATATATATATATATATATATATTTTCATTTTATCATCATCGACCGGCCAATGATTGAAGTACATTAGGAGTGAGCGACTATCCGTAGTCAATTCGATACCAATCTTCATATGGAGGTCTTATATCCGCAAGGACAACTATGACGGCAGTAACGAAAGCAATTATAAAACGATTCTGCATGGTGGTGCAAGT